GCAGATCAGCGAATCGAACTTGAGACCTCGGTGGTTGAGCAGTGTCCCGACGATATCCTTCTGCGAAAACAAAGCAAAAATCAGTATGTCCCTCGGACCTAAAAAAAAAGATGTAAATCAAGAAGTCGGAACAAAAACACACCTTCATCCCTCGACACTTTGGGGCAGTACAATCCGTCATACTTGGGCCCGGTCCCTTTCTCCCAACCGCCGCTGAGCATGATCAAATCGTCCACATACCCTTTGTCCGAGTCAGGTATGTGGGTTACCAGATACATCGAGGGATCTCGGGTCTGGAGGTAATATCGTCCCCCGACGACTAGCCTTAGGTCATAGCAGAATAAAATTTCGTCTACCCCCAAGTTAATCCCAAGCTGAGTGTTTAAGGCGACTACGTCCATCACAATCCTAAAGAAGTTAACCCCGCACTGAAGGAGAAAGAGCTTCAATTGCATCAGGATTCCCAACAACAGGGGATGGAAAGGGAAGGTCAACCCTCCATCCATGATGGCCTTCGTCCAGAAAGACATCATGTCCTCACTTTTCATGTCCCTCCTATAACGAGTAGGGTTGAAGGGAAAGGTGAAGACAGGCTCGTGAATATGGTACCTGACCCTAAAGGTGTGGATGTTCTCGTATGTTACTTGGGTTCTCCTCATTTTGTGGGTAGAACTGGCCCTAACAGACGTGTCCCCCCTAGGTCTACTAATTCTGGCCATCAGTGAGAGCTAAGAGGGCGAAATTTAGAAGAAACGGAGAAAGAAAAAACTCAAGTGAAAGTACTTACAGGAGGTTGGTCTTCAGAGAGAGCTCGGGGAACCAGGGAAACTCAGAGGACAGGGGAGCACTCGGGGTCTGATTGCTGAGGAGAGATGAAGGATGCAAAAGTTCTTAGAAGGGAGAGAAACCCCCTATTTATAGTACCTCATAAGGAGCGAGAATCGAGGAGTTGGCTCATCATTAGGACATTTGAAAGGGGCGGCACCAAATGTGTAAGCAACCGTCACCGTTAATGAGGCATGGTGATAGAGCTCCAATCCCTTCACTCCACTTGTCGAGCACCGCGTAAGGGATTGCGACTGGGGGGCAGTTGGCGGGACTCTTGTGTGGATTCTCAACTCCCAGGGTGACACGTGGCCCAATAAAGTCATTAGGATGTCTAGAAGATGCCGAGGGGGTGAGCCGAGGCATGGTGACACAGAGTGGCCGAATACAACAGCTGACATCATAGTTAAAATGATGTGATTTCGCATTTATGACGAGATGAGTGATAGTGACAAGACAAATAAATGCGGGGCTGCCACCAACTACTCTCTGCAAGTCTATGCCTACTGTCATGATGACTGGAGCATTAATGACTGATGCGCCGAAACAACGTGATTGGTTCTCCTGAGTTCTCTGATCCACCAATTAGTCCGTGCCCTGTTGGTGTCAGACGCCGACCTCTTGAATTGGGCTGCTCGGCTTGTAGTATAAATGTTCGGCTTGCGGCCAAACATTTATACCATTCCCCGAGCATTCAATTCGAGGAGGCGTAAAGGGAAAGCATTCACAGCACGAGGGATGGTGGGTCAGATGTGAGATGTCCAGATGGGACTGAAGATTTAGAGCAATCATTGTTAATTCAGGTATAAATATCCCTAAGAAAAATGGACAAAGGTACGCAAAATCAAACCATAGCTCATTGACTAAGAAACATCCCTTTGATCTTACTGACTTAAGCTTCGGAGGGGATTGACTGAGCTCACGCCTGACCCCCTTTCTTCTAACCCCGTTTTTTCAGGTTTGCCAGTCAAGGGATTGCTACCTTACGAGATTGCAGGATCTATCCCGTGCAGTTATATATCTATATAATATTTGGCCATGCTTGGGTAGTTAATCTGACTAGCTTTACCTTTGATGTGCCATGCCTAACTGTTTTTTTTTTTTATTTTGTTTATAGTATGGCCAACAGAAACGGTTAAGGAACACCATGCTGCCACGTCTGTGTCGAGGAATCAGACATGTAGTCCAGTCCAGGCCCACCACCTATCGGTGTTGCTGGGTTGGTTTATTACTAGAAATTTGACCACTGGCCATTGGTGGCTGTGAGCGTGGGAGTGGGAGTGGGAGTGGGATCGGGATCTCCTACCCCTAAATCTACCCCCAAGCTGTTGTACCTATGGAATCGTTGTCTTTTAGAGACTAAAAATCGACAATCAGTAAAAGTAAAAGTATGTTTCCTTCCCAAAATGTGAAATCAAAATTTCAAGACCTCCTGTCAATGGCCGCCTGATTAGAACTCTGTTGGACTTTACAACTAATGGCGGGAAATTGATAACGGACCTCAACCATTGGATCATTGACTTGTTTCCCGGGCTCTAATTGGTTGGACTTGGAGGCCCACTAATGTGTAGAACGGGTTTTGGCCCAGCTACCGACCTCCCTATTTAGAACTTTGAAACACTTTTTCCATTCACAGTTTTAATATATGGTCCTTAATAAATGATTCATGCATTCTTCTGTCCAGGAGTGAGTGGGTTGCACTAACTATCTGTCTATCTATATGTATAGATATGATTTAGTATGAAATAATAATAAAAAAGAGTGGGTGATATAACAGTGACACCCATGATAAGTTGATGTTATTCTCTACCCACCAGCTGTTATTTCAATAGAGGGACAACAAATTGGTGATATTTTAAAAGTTGGGCCACAGCAATTAGTTCTCTCTCTTTCTGGTATTAGGACAGACAGACAGACAGACAAATAAGGCTTAATTAAGTTTTAATAATAAGTTGCATTGCATCGCATCGCATGCATTTCTGGTTAGGACGACGGGTGGGTCAAACCAATTCGGCTAAATCGTAGTAGCTAGCCTACTAGTAACTGACAATTTCTCTCTGATTTCACTGACAGGATTCGAACTCCAAATCTCACTCTCCCCCTCGCCCTCCCCTGCATAATAAAAAGCGAAAAACACTGGCCAACAAAAATAAAATCAGAATAATAATGAAGCTCGCACTTCTCAACAGTGAGCCTCAAGATCGGCCCTAGGCTTCCTCGCTTCCCCTCTCTCTCTCTGAACTTTGCTGTAGTATTGTTTTATTTGTTAATTCCAGCCCGCCCGCCCG